AAAAAAAAAAAAAAGGGTAAGGTGTAAACATAATACAATGTCATACTAAAACATTCACACACATGACACATCTATGATAAAAATGGGTGCAAAAAGTAAAGAAAATCTAACATGATTTGTGGTAAAAATATGTGAACATCCTTTTCTTTTTTTCTCTTAATCTTTTGGTAAAACCAAACTTTAACTCTTCTGTTAAAACAAACACCAGAAGACCATAGAGAAAAGTCTACAGAAGAATGATGGCCAATGTCTTTGGGTTGGACCTTGTTAAAAAGCTAATATTATTTCAAACCAATGCCATTATTATACATTTCCTCTTTCACTATCAAATGAAATATATCATAATCTTATTTTGCTGTTTTATATAAAAGTTCTAACTTTTACTTCTGTAATTTGTAATCTCATTGAATTTAACAACTAAATACTGATGAACAATGCAAGCATTTGTAGCCACAAAGCTTCATTAAGATTAAAGTGACATCCTTAAATGAGATCCTATTATATATATATAACCAATGAGCTTGAAAACTAAGTTCATCAAATCAAAGGTACACAAACAAGAAGAACAAAACAAGCTTTTTATCTGCACTTTATGTTATGGCCTCTCAATCTTCCCATGAGATTTTCATGGCTATTGTGTTTATAACAACCATGTTTTCGCTTGCCGGTAGCTGCAAATTCACATCGACAAAAGATTTGTGCGACACGGCATTATTTCCCGATTCGTGTCACAATAGCCTCGCTAACTTAACTACTCCTCGAAATCACACCCGACTCGACACGATCTTCGAGCGATCGGCCCGCGTGGCACTAACCGCGGTTTCGAAAGCTTCGTCCCGTTTTTCCACACGCGGAGCGATAAAAAAACTAATGCGCGTAGACGAAAAGCTGTCGATTTCCGCACTAGAAAGTTGTGCGACTCTTCTTTCGCTCGCGATGGACAACATCAATGAATCGCTCTCGGTGAGCAAACAAGTATCGTTTTCTAGTGGGGCCCGCATGGACATAATGACTTGGATGAGTGCCGCGGGAACCGACCTTCGGACGTGCATGGATGAATTCGAAGGATTTAGTCACGACGTGAAAAAGTTTGTGCGCGAAGAATTGGATAACTCGACCAAATATATTAGCAATAGTCTAGCCATTGTGACTAGAATCCATTCGTGCTTGGGTTCGATGAAAGTGAGGTATTCGTCAAGCTTCGGTTATTGGGTTAACGAGACGAAAAATCTTCTCGATGCGAACACGACCAAAATAAAGATCGATATAGTTGTCGCGCAAGATGGCACGGGGAATTTCACCGCGATAACCGATGCATTGAAAACTGTGCCTGACCGAAGTCTTAATAGGTTCGTCATATATGTCAAGAAAGGGACTTACTACGAAAACGTACGAGTCGAGAAATCCAAGTGGAACGTGATGATGATCGGCGAGGGAATGGAGCAAACCGTAGTTTCGAGCAACTTGAGCTATGCTGGTGGAACAAAGACGTTTATGACCGCTACATTCGGTACGCGTACTCTAAACTTCTAACCAACTCTTAACGAGCTTTTTCTCGTCATTCTTCGCCTTTCCTAATTCATTTCTCCAACTTTTCATATTTTTTTCAGCTGTCTTCGGCAGAGGATTTGTGGCCCGGCAAATTGCCTTCCGAAACACAGCACCAGCCTCACAAGCTGTGGCCTTACTCTCGACCTCCGACAAATCAGTTTTCTTCCAATGTCTCGTCGAGAGCAAACAAGACACACTCTATGCGCACTCCAAACGACAATTCTACCGCGAGTGCACCATAATCGGGACAATGGACTTCATATTTGGAAACTCGGCTGCCGTCATCCAAACGAGCCTCATACTCCTCAAGAACCCTTTCCCAGGCCGGACGAACGTGATCACGGCCCAGGGAAAATCCGACCCGAACCAAAAAACGGGCTTTTCGGTGCACAACTGCACGATCCGACCCGCCGGGAAAGAGGGTCTTGGTGGGGCCCGCGCGTTCTTGGGGAGGCCGTGGAGGGATTACTCGACGGTCGTTTTCATGCAGACGTATATAGACGGGTCGGTCGACCCGGAAGGATGGCTGGCGTGGGATGCTTCACGGCCCGACCCGAGTACGGTTTTCTATAGAGAGTATGGTAATTCGGGCCCGGGAGCGAATACAAGTGGGCGGGTTAAGTGGGCTGGGGTGAAGGTTGAGCTCGACGAGAGTGAAGCGGAGAAGTTTACGGTTGGTCGGCTCATCGGAGGACAAGAATGGCTGCCCGAGACCCGTGTACCTTTCCGGTTAGGCCTCCTTAAAGGAAACAGTAAAATGAGAAGTGATTGATGAATGATGAGTCTTTGTTGAGGTTCAAAGTGGAAAGTTACTGAAATGTGTATATGATGTTAATTGAGTAAATAAGTTGCTGTTTCATAACATGTGTTTGATGTGAGCAAGTAAATAAGTTGATGTTAATGTTATATAAGTAAAGATTGAAGGCTACTTTTGCATTTTGTAACTAACATACTTCATTTTTTATTTTTACTTTCCTTATTTTTTGACTATTTTGAACAACACAACACAAAAATGATCCAAAATTTCTGGTGTTATTGCTGAAAGATTAAAGAGAAAGCTAGTAAAATGTAATTGGGCAAGACATGGGGGGCATTTTTTGCAAATAACCCAAAACTCTTCTTACATGATGCTAAAATGTCTGAACTGAACCACACAACTATAAAATCTCCCATCAATCATATTCAACATCACACACACTTTATGAAAGTTCTTTAATGGGTCCACACAATGTCACATTAACAAGTTATGTACTTATCACTTAAAACATATATTTAGTGCCCACATATAGTTGTAGCTGTTGAACTAAAACCATCAAACACACACACACACACACACACACACACACACACACACACACACACACAATCAACAACCTTACCTTCCAACTCCAACCACCACAAAAAAATCCCCTTTGTTTTTCTCCCATCCCTTTATTACCAAGCCCAAGAAAACAAACTCATGGCCTCTTTAGAAGAAGACTTCACTTTTCCGGTAGCTTCCGGTGGCGGCGAGTCGCCGCCTCTGTGGCGGCCCACCGGAGATCACGAAAGGCCGGCAGAGTTGAAACTAATTTCTTTTCAAGAATTTGAGAAGAGAAGAAGTAAAAGTGAGAAAATCGGCGACACTCCGGAAGATGAAGAGGAGAGAATGGATGTGTTGTGGGAGGATTTGAACGACGAGTGCTCGAGAAGTTGTGGCGATTGCTCTTCGCCAGTGCGAATGAGCTGCGCAAAGCCGTTGAGGCTGTCGAGAGGCAACCGGCAAATGTTTTCCGGTAAGAAACCGATCATTTTAGTGCTCGTCGAAGTTGTGAAGAAGGTTTTGCTCAAGCAGAATTCTCACAGGATCAAGAAGCAAGCATGGTGATGATAAAGTTAATTGTAGTTATTGGAGTTTGTTATGAATGGAGTTTGGGTGGTTGTTTTCTTGAGGTTTTTAACTGTTCTTTGGTTGTTTAGAACAGAAAGAAGGATTTGAAAAGAAGAAAAAAAAATATATATATATATATTTGTTTTAGTTTTTAATCTTTCTTCCTTTTTTTTTTTTCTATTTCATGTAAGTGTAATGATATGGTATGTGTACATTCTGATAAATGAATACTTGAACAAAACAGAAATGTAACTGTATATGCTTAGAGATGTTAAATGAAACGAGTCGTTCATGAGCTCGACTTATTAAGATATGGATATTTTTATGTAATTTTCTATAGGTCGGCTTGTTATTATTGATGAATGAGCTTATCGTGAGCTCATTTAACGAGTCAAGCTGATAAATATTTTTATGTATTTTTTTATAGGTCGGCTTGTTATTATTGATGAACGAGCTTATCGTGAGCTCATTTAACGAGCCAAGCTGATAAACGATCGAGTCCGGGCTCGAGTATGAGGATCTCGAGCTTTGCTCGGCTCATTTAGAGCTCTACTTATGGAGACAAGATGTGACATTCAGTGTCTAAAATTATGATTTCATTTTATGTTTCTTCTTTCAATTTATACAATTATTTTGTTGAAATGACAATTTGAATATTCTTTGGATGTTGGTTGAGTGGTTGATTCAAGTAGTGACTGAATTTGTTTTTATTCTGACTGAACATATGGATGCTATCCATCAAAATAATCCTATCACGAGTCAATTGATTGTGGAGTTGTTCACCTTTGCAAATCATTAATTATTAGAAGTCATTAATTATGATGGTTGGCTTTAATATAAGATAGGGAAATGCTATGGTCCCGTTACAGTATCATCCCGTCGGGAGTTTTAACTGTTCCATATCATCCCGTCGGGAGTTTTAACTGTTTCCAACAGTTAAAACTCCCGACTGGATAGTACCGTAACGGAACCGTAGCATTTCCCTTATAATCTTTCCCTGTCATCTAATTTTGCCCAAAAGCACAGTACAATTATAAATTTAGCACAAAAATTAGAAACCTTATTTATTTTTCACCAAGGGACAACAAAACTAGCAAACCTCACCAGGTGATATTATCAAAATGAATATTCATACAAAGATATCAGTTGCTTCTTTTGTTGTCATTATACATTCAATCTATGTAACTAAAAGAATTGAAATGAGGCTCTACAATCACAGTCTCTGCTGCTTTTGTTCTATCTTTAAGCAAATTTTTGGGGAACCAGCAAAAAGAGAGTTGGCCTCGGCTTGCTCGTATTCTGTCGAGCAAAAGCAACGTGCGCTTTTTTATCATTCCTCATAGCAAGTTGTAAGTTTTACATGGCAGTGCTTCGAGATGCACGATCTTTTCCCCCATAATCCATATTACTTTAAAAGAACAAATTTACGGTAACCAGTATTCTTGGTTTTCTCAGCAAAGCTCAACATCATGAAAAACTACTCTGTTACTTGTTGAGGTATGCTCCTCTTCTCCTCAGACCTGTGATGGTACAATTTAGCAATTTTTCGCCTCTCGCAATCCT